AAACCCCCCCCCGCCCAGGGGGGGGAATTCCCCCCCCGTGGTTTAAAAAGGGCCAGTTTCCCCGGGGGGGATTACCGGGGTTCCCAAACTTTTTTGGGAGGGGAAGCCCCCGAAAAAAAAATTAATTATTTGGGGGGTTCCCCCCCCCCCAAGGGAAAAAACCCAAAGGGGCGAACCCCCCTTAGGGGGGGGGGGCCCCCCCTTTTGGGGCCCCCCAAAAACCCCCCCGGGCTTTCCCCTTTGGTAATGGGGACCCCTGTCCCGGGGAAACCCCGGGGTTCCCCCCCCCGGTTTTGGGGGGGGGGGGGGTAAAGGTCAAAAGGTTTCGGGCACCCCAGATTTTGGTTCCCCCCCCCCCCCCCCCCCCCCCCCCGGTGTTTGCCATCGGGGTTTGGGTTTTCGTCGCTTGGCAACGACGTTGTAAAACAAGCCCCCCACTCGGTGTTTGCCATCGGGATTGGGTTTTCGTCGCTTGGCAACGACGTCGTAAAACAAGCCAATTCACTTCGTGAACTCGGCAACCAGGTTACCGTTTTTTTTTTTTTACCTCGTTTTTTTTTTTGGCGGTAACCATAATGGTGGTCGAGTAGATTATGTTGTGCGGGGTCGAGAACCCTCACTCCGCGCAACGGGGGATGATCGCACCACGTTGTGTGAAAATGGTCAAGCTTGCTCGAGGCAGTTACACAGTGCTTACAACTGTCTCTGGAAGTGAAAGCACCAGAAAATAAATTAAGTCATCCGTAGCTGTCATCCGTACGCAAGGAAGTAAGCACAAGATGCCGAATACCCTTAGCAGGATGCAGCTCGCCCTTCATGCGACTCGCCAAATACCACACGGCGCTTCGCGCTTGGTGATGTGAGAGCCTGGTCCGGTGAGAACCCGGCGTGCTCCGTCCCGGCTTTGTAGGGATGCGAGGTCAATGGTCAAACGACTACGGCATGCACGATTATGAGTACACCCCCCCCCCCCCTGCCGCTCTGGGTTTACCATGCGGGGTTGGGTTTTTTCGCGAATGGCAACCACGCTTGCAAA